TGCTTCCAGGTATACTGTAGGCAGCTGAGAAGATGCATGTTAATTCCTTCTGATATCCAAATTTTCTGATTTTCTGAAGGCTGGCAGTGGCTTTCCTGACCTTTACTTCCATAGCCCATCCATCAGTTTTAGAAAATTCATATACCCAATGTTAATTCTCTTTCTGCTTGAAAAAGCTAGAATGGTTTTGGTTTTGCTACTGAATTACATATCAGGAATGGTTGTAGACCCTCAAAGATGGTTATCTATAATTATTTGTTTGTCTTGCTTAGATTTAAAGGAGGTAATATCATTGATAATGGGTAATAGGACCATGATAATTCATAGTTTTCAGGCCCAAAATAGTTGTTTAAATTATCATCTCTAATTTCCCAAATTGAAGAACAGGTTTTGAGAAAACAAATGATTATTTCAGTAGAACATTATGGCAGAATAGAGAATTACAGTCTTTGAGAAGACTATTTCTGACTGAACTGGAGGGATTACAGAGAGAAAAAAATAACCTTGGTGCTTTAAATTCTTAGTTGAAAGTATGGGCAGAAAACCAGAGATCTTCTATGACTGTACTAAAAGAGTCTTGTGGCTGGGCATGGTGGCTCACACCTGTAATCCTAGCACTTTGAGGCCAAGGTGGGAGGATTGCTTGAGACCAGGAATTCAAGACCAGTCTGAACAACATAACAAGATCCCAGGTCTACAAAAAATACCAAAATTAGCCAGGAGTGGTGGTATTTGCCTATAGTCCCAGATATTCAGAAAGATCTCTTGAGCCCAAAAATTTGAGGTTGCAGTGAGCTATGATGATGCCACTGCATTCCACCCCAGGCAATAGAGTGAGACCCTGTCTCAACAATAACAACAACAAAAAGTCTCTATCCTCAAATCTCTTACAGCTTTAGAATCAATGTATCTGAAAAGTAGACTATGGTTTAGAATTTGGAGGTGGCAAAATTACAATTCAAGTAAATTTTGTGTCATGATTAGGTCTTTTATGTGAAAAGTAACATATTGATTGGGAATGTGTAGCACACTGAGAATTGGAATACAGGCCTTGAGGGGCTAAATTCCACTGAGCCTCCCTTTGCATCAAAAGCAGCTTTTCTTGTCTCTGAAAAAGTAAGTTTCCTCTCGTTTGAGTCCCCTATAATGACACTCATCAATGGGGCTGTTGATTCTCCTCAAAACCAACCTCCTATGTACCTCAATGCCAAAACACCCATAAGTGGACTTAGTTCTGGGAGATTTCAAGAGTATAAGTTGAAATTCTGACCAAATACACAGGTAGCATATACACTGAAAATTACCAAGAAATTTCTAAAAGTCCTTACTAGATGTCATCTAAAACCACTAAACCTTAACCACAAATATGTAAAGTATCTAGAGCAAAGTATGAAAGTGAACAGGTAACTAAAAGCCAAGGAAATATAAGTTTGTCCCCTAATATTAGCAAAATGAAACTTTATCAGCAAAAACCTTTCTGTAACAACAAATGCTGGTCTGGTTTGACTACAGTTATGGCACTGTATACCCTGACAGCCACATGGTCTTAATATTCAGCTGATTATCTGAAGATTCAAGAACAGGGAATCACTCACTCTTGTACATCTAGTTTACAAATTTTCCCATCAAATTAAAACAGCTGTACTAAATTAAAGTTATAAAACTCAAATTGTCAAACCAGTAAACTGAATTAAATAAATACTAGATTCAGAGAATATGAAAGACTCTTAGAGTATTAAGTCCAACTTCTGCACTTTGTAACTATAAGGCTAGGGGCCAAGAGAGGTTTAGTGACCTATAGAAAGGCCACTATTGATTGGAGGTAGAAAGGAGAATCATTTCTCCTTACTGATTTCATTGCCTCATGCTTTCCAAAATATTCCTGCTACTATTTTAGGAAATGGAACAGTAGATTTGTAGAGTTTGCAAAAATATAAACAATTCTAAGTCTTAAAAATATATTATTTATGAGTAGCACACTAAATCTAATGACAGAAAAATTCAAGCTTAACACAAAATTCCACTTTCAATTTAAACATTAAAATGAAAGCTAACTTATTAGTAGTTTATCAAAAATGAATTTTGTGTATATATTAAAAAAAGATTTGAGATAATTTATTAGAAAACAGCTATGCAATGCTGAACCATTTAAGCACCAGACAAAATTCAGGAAATAAAAAGACTTAAAAATGTATCAGGGACACTAGACCAAAAAAAGTTGCTATGATTCAGTATGAAACTGTTGTCTAAACTTTCTAATAGCTGATCCATTGGGTTATATGACAATTAGAAACAAAACTTTTCCCAAAAAGTTTCTAGAGTCCCTTCCTACTGGGAAATTTATGTTTGAGTTGAAATTTAAAGTATATGTTCCCATGCAAAATATTATAAAAGATAGAAAATGTAGTTGAATCTGCATTTAGATACTTTATAAGTTAATTATGAATATGTTAACTGACCCAGAAACCAACTAACTTTCTATATTTATATGTACACACACACACACACATGAATATATGTATATATGCATATATATATGCATATATATAGATATATATATATGTGCGCGTGTGTGTGTGTGTGTGTGTGTGTGTGAGTGTGTATTTGTAAAACAAGTTTGCCTTGTTCCCAAAAGAGCTTAAGTTGGGTCATAAGGATGCACAAAATTGCAAGACACCACAAATTTTAGGTAGATAATAAATCAAGATGAAACCATGATTATGACATTATTTGGAACATGAAGACTGAGGTCTGAGCCCAGCAAAAAACAAAAGAAAGGAAAGAGAGAATAAGAGGGAAGAAAGGAGTTTTCTTCTTTTCTTTCAAAAAAAGGAAGCATAAAAATATATATGAAAAGTACACTATTTGTAATTTGGAATTGCCTATATCTATAAATCTTTGGCTCTGTTTGCAAATAATAAACTTCCATTTATCAACATCGTAATAGCCATGGTTAATGTAAAAATAATTCATAGATTTTCCAGCAGGGGTAAGTGCTGACAGCCCAGATTAGCTCTTTCAACGACTTGTAAACCGAGTCTCCCCAGAGTATTGTGGATGGGAAGCATATTAATATCAACTCTGTGACCACTCACACCATGACATGAAGTGTCTGTTCAGGAGGTCATCTCCAAAATGTATCCCATACATCTTCACGCACAAGAGATGATAATTTATCACCCAGACACAGGGATCTACTGTAAACTAATCCAAACTGCTGATGATACACTAAATCAGTTTGAGTGATGAGTATAAATAAAGCTGCAAGCGAAGTACTGAAGGATACGGATCTATCTGATCAATGAGATGTCACAAGCAAATGAAATGCAATGTTGACAAACATAGAGTCCCTCAGTTGAAAATTAACCAAATTAAGTATCAGAGCATAAAGACACACGTTAATACAAGTTTCAAATGAAAGTTTAATATAATGGGAATCTGAGGGTATATTCAAACTGTTTTAGATAAAACTGAACAGACTAGGTCAGTGGAAAAGAATGTATTAAAAATTGATATATTTTGCACACGATAGAACGTATGGCAGGATAAAGAAAAATGATGCAAAATAATAATCCTTTCCAAATAATATAACTATAGTTATTCAGTCTGCCAAGCAAATGCATACACATAGATGAAAAAAAGCAATAAAAATTTTATAAAGAAAATGATTTCACATCAACTTGCTACAAGGAAATCAAATTCAATTTGTGTTGCCCTTATGAACGCTTAGATATTTTCTGAAACTGTCATGCTAAAACTTCAATGGAGAAAACAAAGGAGTGAGGATAAGGAAGGACATTCCTCCAGATAGTTGATATTCATGGAGAGCACTTCTTGAGAAAAAAAGATTTTCCCAACTATGTGATCAGAATAGAGCTTTTAGCATCCGGCAATCATGTTCAATGGATTCAGCTATTCTGAAGGTGTCCCTAATGGAAAGAGCTGATTAAAGTAAATTCCAACCCCCGCTGGAACAAATCTGTAAAAATACATTCTGAGGGAAATTATTCTTCAAAAAATTTATATATTTTTCCTTGCTGCATTAAATATATATTATAGTTTGTCATAACATATTTAACTCTTGCCTTATATTTTATCTTTTCAGTTTATTTGGGGTAAAGATAGAATTATACTACTAAAATATGACCTGATCCCAGATGTAGTTTATTTAAATTTCAAAATGAAAAGCTTACTAAGAACAGATAAGATTGATTGCTCTCTCTGTCTTAGCATAATTGTATTTCAGGTGAACATCAATTTACTTTAAAGGACACTTCTAAGTAGCAGAATGCATCATAAATAATTCATCAATCACAGCTACTAGGAACATGATTTACTTCAGCAGATTCAATGAAATAAAAGTTTATTTTCTCTATTTGTGTCTGCTTTAAAGAGTTTAATAATTTTATTTTTCTAAGAATCCATTCTTAGATTCCATATTTCATACTCTAAATGCAATATGATAAAACTGTTGCTTTTTCTTCCTTTTTTAAAAAAAATTAAGTTTATTAATTAAAATAAAAACATTTAAATACCATTGAAACAAATAATCTATGTGTATCAACAGTAAAACAACATAAAAGATATATATCTGAAAAATAACTAAGATTTTCTCAAATTCATAATTCTAGTAAGGCTAACATAATTTGTTTTCACCTTATATAAACTTTTAAATGGAAGTAAAGGAAAGCAGGCTTTCTGAAAACCTTATGTAGATTATTTAGGATTTGACATATTTGAAAATTACTTCAATTTAAAAATGAAAATTAAACAGATTCTAACTTGTAGAACAGTTGAAGTTTCGTCATGTAATATAGTGAGTATTCTATCTACAGCTTTCATTTGTCATAAGGAAAGATGTTGTTTACCTTATACATCCTAAAGTTTTCTATCAAACTTAGCAATTTTGTATTAGCAATTTACCAAACCGTGTGACATCCTTAGAATAAATATATTGACAAGGATAAATGTAAAAGAGGATAAAAAAACATTTTACTTACTTGCAAACCACTCTGAAAAACTGAATGGCCCATAAAATTAGCCAGCATTCTAATTAAAGCAGCGCCCTATAGGAAAGAGTATTAAAAAGAAAAGAATTTCAGCTAAGTATCATGATTCTAAAACTATTCTATATCAATCAGAAATAATCTGTTTCATTTATGGTATCACATTTTTAAAAATAAGTAAGAAACAAGAGAATCATGAAAACAATATCCCACTTACAGATAACAATTGTTTTTTTTGTTTTGAGGATCTAAAACTTTTGTGGATGTAAAACCTACAATTGCAGAATGGAAGTCCCCTGGACAGAATATCTCAGGGCAATGATATGCTGTAGTTTAGGAGAAATTGACATTTTACTGATCACTGTCTATGAGAAAGTTAAGAAAACATGGTTCTTGTACTTGCAAGCTCATTATCTGGTCAGGAAAGGATACCCATGTTAACAAATGATCATATTAAAATATAACTTTGAAGTAACATTTACTTTACTACAAAGTAAGTACTTTGAGGTACTTACTGTATCCCTGGTGTAACCAAGAACAGTTCAGTTGTAGAAGTGGAGAGTAGAGAGTACCAAACAGTCAAACTGATTGGGTTCAAATCTTGCTCTCTTACTTACCGTGTTTACTCAGAAAAATTATTTAACCTCTCTGTTCCTAACTTTTCTCTCTTTTAAAATGTAGGTAATAATACTTCTATTTAATGTGTTTCTAATTAATATAGGTAAAGCAGTTTGAATTGGGTCTGAAAAATAGTAAGCACTATAGGAGTGTTAGCTATCAGCATTATTTCAAATTGGCTAAATATTTTCATTTTTGTCCATTTCTTTTAGAAGGCTGTATTTAGCCATATATAGCCATATACAAATAAAATATATGTGATCAATATAAATATTGGGAGTATTAGAAGAAAATACTAATTTAAAGGGGTCTACTTCATCCTAAGAACCATTATTATAATATTAAAGAACAATATCAATGGCAAAAGGTAGGTATGTAATCAATATGAAACACTCCAAGTAATGGCAGTTAAGTCTGGATGATCACAAATCTGTATGTAAAATATGAATAAGGTTTCAAGAAGATATTTCAAGCCACAACAAATTGTTTTAACTATGGGGCAGTGGATTGTAAGTGGCAAATGTTTAAATATAAATGACAGCCTGCTTTGAGTGGGGTGAGTTCTTTCATTACTGCATATCCCACTTCATAGTCATTACAAATATACACAGTGCAATAGCTCATTTTTGTACAAGATGTCTCCTTTTGCAAGAGAATCATAAGAATCACATATGGACTCATTCACCCTGGAACTGGACTGCTGCAGTCAGTTCAAAAACAGAACAATGAATTTCCATAGTTCGTTACTAGAATTGTTTCCTATAATCCTGTGACTTTAATGCAATATAATATTCAGTTTCCATGAATCACCATTAAGGAAATATCTCAAAAAACTTCAATCACCATCAAAACTGCTCCTCCAATTGGTATTTTGTTTTCATCTCAAAAAATGTAGGCCGGAAAACCATAGAGTTTTATGCCTCCTCTGACCTTTTTCCCCTCTCACACCTTCTACTCTTTGCTCTTTCTTTTGCTTCTTCCTCTTTATCTTCTACACACTTGTTTATGTCCATAAAACAGAAGCATTTATGATTCAATCTGGGGACTAGTTTAGAATTCCCTTTAGAACATATCAGCTCCGCTTCTTGAATTTCCTTGACAAGCTCTCTTTCTATATATTTCCAATCCAATCTACCACCCAGAGGGTGGAAACTGTCAGGTTTTTTTAGCAAAACTAACTCCTGCCACCTGGGGAGTGAGATGAAAATCTCAAGCAGTCAACTCAAACTCTCCTTCAGAACAGAATAGCCATCTTTGGATGATTTAAGTGTTTCCCTCCAGGTAATGATGACTCAGTCTGTTGTCAGGCTATAAAAACTATCAATTTAGTATGATCTAATGACACAAGAATCTTTCTAATCATAAAGAATGTCAATTTTCTTGTCTGGGTCAAGCTGGAACAGAGTGCTAATAAGAAATAAAACCTAGAAATACAATGCATACTCAAGAATTATATAATATCACTTAACTCCTGATTATTATTATGTTATATAATTCAATTAATGTTTAGAAAGTATGTCTATGTTACCCAGTTGAACATTTTAATGTTCTCTGGAGTGGCATGCACTCTTCTATATTTAACTAGCCTTTTCTTTTCAAAGCTAAATTTTAAAAATTCTTATTTTATAGAACTTCATAGACAGATGGGCTCTCCAACTGTCATCGTTTAACCAACATATATTAAGCACCTACTATGTATGGATTATAACAAAGATCACAACTCTTAACATAGGCATAGGTCATTATAAGCTTTTTTAAAAAAAAAACAGAAAAGAAAACACCCTATCTCCTATCATCATCTCTTTAAAACATTTGCTCATCAAGCAAGCATTGCTTACAATATTATAACTTATATTCATTTGTGATTTAAAATTCCAGCCCCAGTCAAACAAACTGGACATTTAGGAAGCCTGAGAAGCTTAATGGGAAGTAAAATATACTATTTCTGCAAAGTTTTTAAAATTTTGAGACTAGATTAAGAAAACTCATCACTATCTGCTAAACTAAGGTTCAGGGATATACTAGGATATTTAACTGATTTTTCTAAGGTTTTATAAAAAGATTCCACAAAAGTATGCTTATAAACCCATTCATCATTTAGTAATTTTTATATTTGGAATATCAGTCTCAGAGATAGTAAACATCTCCAGAGGGAAAACTGTGTCCTTATGAATTAGCGCCACCCTCTTTCTGTGCCTGGCTCGGAGGAGGTGCTCCCTTATGTAATAAATGGATGAGATGAAATAGAGATTATCTACACATATAGCAATTACTTTGAATTCTTGAAGAGTAACTATTCAGCCAGGATGTACACTTTATTACTTCACTGATGTACTTCAGCAATAAGTAATCACTTTTAAGAGAGGGAAATCTTCTCAACTCATTTTATTTCTTTAACATAGGCTTATTGAATAAGGTGGTATGTTCAGTATACTGTAGATTATAAATAGGAACATCACAAGTCCCTGTCCTCAAGGACCTCAAAACCTCATAAATGAGATACAAAGCAATACTGTGTTCCAGAAGAGGGAGAGTTTATATCTAGAGGTACGAAGGATAAAGAGAATCTAAAGAAATAGTGTTTGTGTTGGACCTTGAAGGATGGATAGGATTCCATGAGCAAAGACAAACAGAAAGCATTTGCATGGTATGGCAGGAATGGTCTTTGCATGGTCAGGCAGGTGTGAAAGTGAAAATCACAAGTAGGGTAGATGATATGGAAGGACACAAGGCATAAAACCAGATAATGAAAGATTAGATGGAAAATAGATTGAGGAAGATTTTAGAGAAGTTGGAATACCAGGACTAAGGAATTTATAAAAAGTGGTTTTTAAAAAGACAGAACTTAACTGTCATACTCCAGGGAAGAAGTAAAATAACCTGAGACAAATGTTAGCAATGAGGATAAAAGCTAGAGATAGATTTAAGGAATAGAGCAAAGATAAGTCAGCTTTTTAAAACCTGAGTGAGGGAAAGATAATATCAACACATATGTAGACTTTAGAAGAAAGTGCTTATTAGATGAATATGATAACATCTATTTGTAAATGTGGAGTTTGAGGAACAGGTAGAGAACCTGAGGAACAGAGGGCAAATGCAACCATAGGAAGGAAATTCAGTGGATGATTATAATTGAAAATATAAACTGGGATTTGAAGTGGGTAAGATTGCCTAGAGAAAAGTGCTAAGGTTTTAGTGAAGGAAATAGAAAACAAAATCTTAGAACATTTCTACAAATTTTATATGACTTGCACTTGAGTGTCCATAATAGGCACTCAACAAGTATCTGTTGAAATCAATGAAGAAATAAAATTAAAAACAAAGGATGACAAATTGTTATGAAAAACAGAAGATAAACTGATAAGTAGCATCACAGAAGACATATTTTCAGAATTAGTACTTCAGATTTAATGAAAATAAAGCTAAGACAGGGTCCTGGACATGTTTAAGAGACAGCTATATAAACAGACTTGTGGATGTAAAAGCCAATTGAAAAAACAAGGAAAACAGAAGGAAGGAAAGAATATTCTAGAAGCAAATTCACATGAAGGTTTGTGTTTTTCTTTTTTAGAAAATGGGAGAAAATTTTGTGCAAAGCAAAAAATGATCCACTAGAGATAGAGACTGAAGAAGACACACAGTCAATTAAGAGATTGTTATTGAAGCCGGATTCCAGGAGAGCTAGTTAAAGAGAATTTAGGGTAATCTTGGAAAAAATAAGGACAGTCTTCTCTGAGACAGGGCTGAGGCAGACAAGGGAAGTAAAGATAAATCAAAGATTTTGAAGTGCAAATCACAGAAGTTAAGGAAATACATTGCACAGAATAGACCGTAAGCTCCATCAAGGTGGAGACTTGGTCTGACTCAGCATTATACACCCATTGCCAAAAACCAGTTGCTGCACATAGTAGATTCTCAAAACATTACTGAATGATTGATGGCCTGTCACTTCTCAGTGATGTAGGAGCCATGGTCCCAAGATTACATGAGTTAGAAATATTGGAACTAGGTTTAAAGAAACTCAAATAAAAAAGAAATAGGACATCCCAAACATTTAAAAATAGGCAGAAAAGTTACAAATCCTAGTTGAAGTTATAAATAATGTATCTGTCATTTATTAAGCAACTATTTGTGCTACATGCTATAGTCACAATATCCTAAGGAAAATATTACTATGTTTATCAGAGCAGAAAATCAAGGCATAAAGGTTGTGTAACTTGGAGAAATTGACACAGGTGGTAAGTAACAGAGCCAGGATTGGAAACCCATTCATACCAACTCCAAAATCAGTAATCTTAATCAATTTAGGTTACTTTCTTGCAAGCCCAAATCAAAATAGTTACATGATTATCACTATAAACACTGGACATAGCAAGAACTTAGAAAAAGAAAGGAAATTCTGAGAGTTACTTAGAGTTTGGAATCAGTAAGATGCTCACAGA